TGATTAATACAGAGATTTTTCAATGTCCTTGGCAGTCCTTGTACAATTAGCTCACACTGACAGCTGTGTCTGATCTTCAGTCAGTTGTGCTTTTTCTGTACAATTGGCACTCCTTTTATTTTTGCCTTGCGTGTTCTCTAGCTGCCCAGAAGTGGTTCAAAATGGAGCCTTCACATAGTCTTGTATTTCTTTTATTTTCATCTTTTTTTTTTTTTTTTTCTTTCATGATCACAGAAAGAGATCATAGACAATCAAGTGCACTGGATGTGAAGTACAAAAATGAAACTGAAGTTAACTAAGAAGTATCTGAACTCCAGGTTTCTTATGCTTTGAAATTGAGAAAATGAAAAAAAAATCAATGAAACCTTTGAAAAACAGCTCCATGAATCAGTGGGAATTAAGCATTTTAAAAACCTAGATCATACACTGAAGTAGAGAGGCAAATTGGGGAATTATACTTCATAAACATAATGGAATTTGGAAATTGGGGGTACAGACTGTGAGGATGGACAAAGAAGACACATTAAGACATCAGGAAGGAATCAGCTGAAATAGATGTTAATATCAAAATAATAGCAAATGAGTAGGAGATGTGGATGTTTTACTGTAATAAAAAAAGGTAAGAAAATACAAAAAGGAAATTGAAGTTCTCTTAGGAGTACTTCTACATTAACTGATTACATTGCTACATGCAATATTTTACATGGGCTGATATTGATCACACTTCATAAATAAATGTAGATGTAGGTGGTTTTATCCAATGCAGTTTTTAAGTGTCAAGAGACAAAGATATATGTAAGCATTTAGAAGATTATACTACAGTGATAACTCACTGAATGGTATTATTAGGAACTACTGATAATACTTACACCATTTTGAAATACATTTCAGAATCTTAATATTAACATTTTAATATTATCATTTCTAATCATTAATACAGTTCTGTATTAATGAAAATGGCAAAAAATGATAGGTGAAGTTCAATATGGAAACTGATTTCAGTCTTAAGGGTAATTTTTAAAGGAAATTTAAGATATCTGTCACTATAAACTATTGTGTGAGTGGTTTCATACAGCACTAGCTGTGGGCGTACAATCAGCATAACTATTAAATTAGAACAAGCTCTCTTTCTCTTGAAGTTATGTTCTCATGCTGAAACACTTCAAGGGACTGATGTTTCACAACATTTCCATAATAAATTGCCTAAGTAAAGATAAAGTTTAGGAATGAAATAAGCAATGCTTGTTTTTCTAAGGAGAGTATGATTTCTTAAACAAAATGCAATGAGTAGAGTGGGAACTTCAGCCTGTATTCTAAAAGGATATTCTGCCTTCTCTTTGCCACATGCTATTTACAATCTGATGAACTTCATTACTAGAAAATAAATCTCTTCTGTTGTCATTATGTATATACTAGAAAATCTTAAAATCTTAAAAACAGAATAGAAAGATAAAGTGCATTTCAAGAAAATCAGAATCCTCTATTTTATGTAGTACTTTGCCATTTTTAATAACTTACTTGTGTTGCTTTGTCTTTAAAGAGCAGATGAAGAATTTCAAGGCATTATAATCATTTATACCGTACCACAAAAGTGAAACAAAACCTGATTTTTTTTTCTTTTTTAATAAATTATCCGTTAATCATTGGGATAGGCATTGTTTCGTGACAAAATTCGGGTTGTTTCTGCCAGGTGAGTTTAACAAATACTGTTCAATACATTATCTCAATAAAAGTATCTCTTCCAGAAGGTATAGTAGAAAACATAACAGATAGATAGTAGTTGTTATATTGGGAACTGCAGTTTGGACAGTTGGGAATTGCAAGAAAGTAAAAAGATGAGAAGCATAAATGCAAATACATTTTCATGAAAAGTGAGCAAAGGAAGATAAACAAGAAACTGCAAGACCACATGGAACCCTAGTTAAGCTTATTTGTCTAGTAACAATAAAACCTGTTGGTCCTGTTGTTTCATAGAAACTATATAGTGCCATAAAGCTGTGCAAAGTAAATTTTAAATGTTAACACACTAGAATTTGTAGTATCTTACTTAGAGTTGAAGAACTATGGAAGGCCTAATATTAAAGACAGTGGCTTATCCCGTTCTCTTGAACTTTCTTGGAAAACTCTGTGCACATAGAGAAGGATTAGCTAGTAAAATCCTTTCATCTTACTTCTACTGCCAGATATTTTTTCTATAACTACCAAAAAAGGAAGCATGAATAAAAAACATTCGGTGTTCTGTATTTTGGAAATCCTGTTTCCTAGCTACACTTAATTGTTTTGTTAGTTAAACAACTCTCTTAAAAAATTTCTTTGAAACACTGCTGAGCCAGTCTTAATGGATCTGTGACTAGGATGGTAACAACAATAAGGCTTGCCTGAAGCTTTTCTCTGTATCCACACAGAATTAAATCATGATGAGGGAAGTTGTAGTTGATCTAATTATAAATATAGAATATATTTATTGTGATTTATACTTTTTTACTACTCAGTATAATATTTTCAGTGTACCAGATGTCCACATGTATTGCCATTTTTTTTCATTTAGAAGTTAAATAGAAAGGGAGAAAATCCTTTACAAAGTTCAAAATAGTATAGGTGCTCCAAATGGTATATGTCACTACTATTGCAGTATTACAAAAATTACACAAAATGGAAGTCCAGTTCCTCTACAAAACTTAAGAGCAGTTTACTGAAGGTCTTACAAAAAGATCTAAATAATTAGAGGACAGGAAATAACATATGATTTCCAGGACTAAGTTAAGAAATAAGAATGTTATTCTGACAAAATATTAAAAAACAATAGTAGTATTGGGTTCCCAGAAGAAGTGGAAAGGTAATCTGACATACTTTATAGAAAATTTAGTCTTGTTCAGTTGATGATAAAGTATGAGGCTATACATTTACTCAGATTTAAAATGTTTTACCAATATGGACCTGAGGCTTTGTATTCTCCTTTGCTAGACAGCGTTGAGTGAAAAATTCTATGAATATTTTTCAGTTGTGGCTGGCATCTGGATGTATTTGCACTTGTTTCCCAAAGTGTTAATCTCCTCCACAGGATTTCACGTATATAATAAACCAAGAAGCTGTCAAGACAGCTTCTCCATATAGCATTTCTGCCTGCTGGAGGAGTGAGAAATTAGCTGCTGAAGTTAGTCAGTTAGTCATGAGACATCCCTGTGGTCACAAGAAGAGTTACTAAATCTATTGAGGGATTGCTTAAAGTATACAAATATTTAAAAGGATTCTCTCACCTATGTTTGAAGATCCATAAAGTTTCTTTGTTCTTCAAAGAGATGAAAAAAATTTTAATGGAAAAAAGTGGTGAAAATTTGGAAAGTTCCTATTAAAATCTTTTTCTGGGAGAGGAGATGTTATTGCTATCAGAAAAATGTTCTTTACTGTCAAAAAAGAATGGTAAGGACAGGAATTGTTTGTTTAAACATATACATTTAAACAACTCTTCCATGAAACTATGAATGTTACTAAACTCAGTCAGAGGGAAATAATAGGAATTTTTTCTGTGGCTAATGGCTGGAATAGTTCTTTTCTGTTTTATTCAGTGTTATATGTTTCTGTGTAATCTATGCTTTGTCTTACCCTGCTATGTGTAACTGGGTGATTTTGATAAGTATGTTTCCTCACTTCAACCAGATATATCCCATTTATGGGGACAGTGAAAAATAACAGCAAGTATCTTCAAGCTACCTTAATCAGTATTTTATCTGTGTAGGTTCTCTAAAGGAACTTTCTTTCTCCTTAGGTTAATTATCCAGAACTAACCTCCTTTTCTTAAATTGTGGTCCTCAAACCAGTAGTCATTCCCTAAAAGCCTCTGACATTTCTCAGGGCTAAAAGGAGAGCGAAGTGTGAGGTTGCCTGCAGAAGGTTACCTGCTTGCTGCTACTCTCTAGAGATCAGCAAAGGCTGGGGACTAATGCTAGAAAACCGAGGGCTTTTGCTGTGGGAAAGAGAGTCGTATCCTTTATGGTTTCCTATTTCCCTTTTTTCTTTGCCTAACTTTCACAAAATGAATTCTACTTACATGTTTGTATCCCAGATTTTTGGTAAATTTGAAGAGTCGTATTTCTGCTGTCCTTTTTTTAACCCTGTTACATCAATTTATCTTTAAATATGCCCAAGTCATCTTTCTATGCTAAAAAGCCAGGATCCTAGCCAATTTCTTGTGGTTTTTTTTTTTTAAAGAAAGTAGTAATTCTTATTCAGCAATCTAAAAAATCAGCTGACAAATGTGCTGATGAAAAGTCAAGACATTGTAGAGTTCATCTACATTTAAAACTGGGTATTATGAACATCTATAAAGTAATCCCCGTACTTTAGTTTTCCCACATTTGCATGAGTGTTAAACATGAAGAATTGTGTTGTTATTCAAAATATTAATGATTCTGAAACAAACTGAGCACAGATTGTGATGCAAATGCTTCTTGGTGTTATGAAGAAACAGCAAGAGCCTTTGCAGCTGCTCTTTTCTGGAAAACAAACATTCTGCCTCGCAGCAAAAAGCGGGCCTTCAGAACTGAAATAAACAAATACACATTGTTCTGTGTGATGTTTAAAAGACGTTTATGGTAGAAGAAAAACCCGATGAGATGCGATACTGAAGTCCTGCTACACTGAACGACTGCTGGGCTTACATCTTGTGACTCATGGCATGGCATGGGGTGCCATGAGTATTTGCAAACTCTTCTCTTGTCCCTTGGAATGTTTTTTTCAGTGGATTTTCATAAAAGACACTCAATTAAAGTTGTTTTGGAAAATGTGAAATTATCAGAAATTCAGCATAAACCAAAAACATCTGGTACGGGGAAAATACGTTTTTTATAACACTACCACGGTTTTTGGTACTGGACTAGAACAGTTAAGCATTTCTGCTACCATTAACTACTGTTCAGCTTGCTCAATACATTGTGTATTCTGTAAGTAAAAGAAAAATAGCCCATGAAAGCTGTGCCTGTTTTTTTTTCTCCATTTTGCAGATTGCCCAGAGGAAGCGTGGGGATTTCCCATGTGTCAGTACTTGAAGGACATGGGCTGGTGCTGTGGTCGCAATGCTAGAATGTCAGCATGCTTGGTATGATTCTCCTTCTTTTCTTTTTCCTTTATCCAGATGTTATAGGATTCATTCGTTTTGGCTTCTAATCCTAGAGCCAGAACTTTAATCCAAGACTCTACAGAATAACATCATTAATGTTGTAAGCATGATGAATTATATCTAAAAAAAATAGTATTGACCTTCCAGCTTTATATATTTTATACTTGCTGAAGGCATGAAAAAATGAGTATTGACAGAAATGTATTTTAAGAGTGGACAGAAAGGCCAAACCTTTGTTGAAACCTAAACAAGGTAACCCCTCAGGGTAATAGTTCCTGGCCAAGGACTTAGGGGGGAACAATTCTAATTGTAGAAGGATTGCAATCAGTAACTCTCCCAATACCTTCATGATTCATAATATTGAATGTTCTGACTGTTTAAAACCTAAACAAACCTGCCTATTCCAAAAACTAGAAGAGCTCTAAAATCCATGCGGCTCAAGAGACTGGAAACATCTTTTTAACATTGCACCAAGAGATGAAGTGCTTTTGAAGACCTAACCTCATCAAGACAGGATGATGAACTGTTGTCTAATATGAAAAAACAGATATGTACTGAAAATTTCAACCACTGTTGCAGTTAGAAGACCATTATTCCTTTCCTCTATTAATTTTTAATTTCTGGTATCAAGCTGAATCACATCAGGTTCTGGCTAGCTCTGCTGCTAGCTCTGTACCCCCATTACAGAGAACAGTGTGGACTAAAGACTCAGTATAGGCTAATGTATCAAGGTTATGTAAACTTGAACTAACATGGTAATTCAATGCTATCAGGAGAAGGTATAGGAGGACAGTTGTTAGTATTCGTAAGGCTTAAATGTGTTACCCTTGGCAAGGTACAAGAAAAAAATTGTTCCTTTTAGAGACGTTGCTGTAAAACTTATCACAAAAAGTACTTTCTAAAAGGGATTTGCCTTTTCTCTTTTTCTTGTCAGTGTCATACGATACCAATTCTTCCTCATCTGACACATTAGCTATTTCCTTTCCCATTCCATTTCTTTTGGAAAGGAAAAGTTTGGGCTGTTTTTCAACAATGATAGGAAGATAAATTTTGTAAGCAAATGACCCCCAAGAGACAGTACTGATTGTGCCATATATATCTATTTTAGATTTCACAGAAATCACAGAAATTTGGCAGTTAAAAACTTTTTTTGTTTAAACATTCCCGAAAGGCAAAGAGTTCTCCTGTGTCACTAGGTACTTCTACTGTTAGTATGTTTGTAATTCTCTCTATGCTTTTTTCATGACTAGGATTTTCCTTGCCTTCTAGGAGGTACAAGGGAGATAGCGCAGTGCAGCTAGACAGCCGTCTTCCTAGGGGTGATGGCTGGCTAGGAGAAACTGAGTTTGCTGAGCAATGACACTCAGCATTATTGCTGATGTTCATTTTTACATGTCATTCAAATCGGTTAAAGTGCCAAGGGCTAAAGGTTTTGGACGACAGTTTCAGTTTCAGACCCTTACAATACATGTTAGAACCCACATCCATCTTCTAAGCAGCAGCAGATATATGCTGGTATGAGAGCTATAGCTTACACAGCAGAAGTCAAACCTGATAGTCGGCCAAAGCCGTGAATGGAGGAACTGCAACTACTTGGACTGTGTTTGAAGAACAGTCTGAAAGACAAGATCATTTCTAAAACTAGGAGAAGGAGAACTGGGTGATTCAGAGACAAGCAGACTTATTTACTGTAGTGGAGTTTGGGGACTAAGGGTGACGATGACCCACAAGCGGTGAGGCATTTTTGTTTTGCTATCATCTAATTTGTTGTAGTGTCAGATAATTTACTGAATTTTTGTCTTCATTTCTACTACGATCTTTAATACTCGGTTGAAATTTTTATAGGCACAGTATCTTTTCAACTGTGGAAAAATATTCCACGCTTCTAATTATTTGTTATTATTTGTCACTATGGATCATAAAAATCAAGTACTCTCACACCTGCATCAGGATTTATGGCACGAAGAATCTAGTGAAATACAATGCACAGCATTTTAAACTGCAGTCCCTCTGAAGTTTTTATTTTATTTAACTTTTACAGAAGTTCAATTTATCTGAATACTAGGGACTAAAAGTATTTAAAGACTTTGTACATTGAACTAATATTTATTTTAAAGTAGTTGAATATGAAAGTAAATTATTTGTATTTTGGTAAGAACAGACTCAAGAAAAATGCATTTCTTTTTAGCACTTTCACAGAAACTAATCCTCTGAAATTCTTTTACAATATTAAGAAAAACAAACAAATTTTGCATGCATCTGTTTCCATACAGTTGGTTGTTATTGCTTCTCCTATAAATAAACCAAAATAACAGGAGTGAGCTGATTATGAGTCCCTAAAGGTATTAACACTTTAAAGTGTGCAAGCTCGTGTTATGTCACACCATTAATCTTTTAAAATGTCATCTCCTCTGACTTTTATACAATGTGTTTATAAAATGTTCTGATAAAGAATAAACATACCAGCAATTTAATTCCTTCACTCTTAAAGGCTTTGGAGCGAGTTGCAGTTGGCCAAATGGTAAGTAATATTGTTTATTTTAGCCATTCTAAGATAAAATGTGTTTTTCCCCCTTGAATGCTCTTAATCCATGAACTTTTATTGAACTTCTGCATTTCTGGAATATAAAATACTAGCATACACTATATCAAATCCTGATAGATAGCATGTGTCATCATGAAATCACATTTTTATTGCTGTGATTATAATTAGTGAATCTGTTTTCTTTTGGCAATTAAGAGTCTGGAAAAAAAGCATAGCTTAAAATTTAGGACATTAAACTACCCATCTTAACTTCTTTCGCTATCTTTCAGCTAATACATAAATTCACTACAAATGTCCTTCTGATATCCCTGGTTTGGATCACTCTATCACGGTGTTTTATCAACTAATGTAAAAATAGAAATTGTTATGACAAAAGCTTGAACCTGTTAGAAACATCATCATTCTCATTTTTAACCCCTGTATATTTTTTTCCCTGTGAATACTTTGAATTACTGTTGTGCAAGTTATCCTTTTGGGGATGGTGGACACCAACTGTGCAAATATTTAAAAGGCAAGGCTGAGAGACCGCTTCTTTCCATATGTAAGCCCACTGACCCCAGTAGTCTTTTACTGTAAATGCATTTTGCTGTGAATTTTTAATTGGCAAGCATTAACTATTTTTGTGCAAACAGATCTTTCATACACAAAGATACGAAGTTTTCAGTATATTCTGTTTTTATGAGCATGGTATTTTCTGCATGGTTCAGACTACAATGTATGACGATTCAGCTGGGGAATTACTCCTTTTGTCTTTAAAACAGTTTAGTAAATTGTTATATTTATTTTGTATAGCAGAATTTGGATCATGATCAGTACATTTTTCCTCTGTTCTTTTTCCCTCTGCCAGCCTTTGAACTTTTACTTCAGTGTTTGGGTTTCTTTTTTTTTCTTGCATTCATGGTTATGTTAGAATCTGATGCAAAAACGTAATTTTAGCTGGATGCAAGAATATTAGTAAATTGTCCTCTTAAACCTGTTATGACTGATTGTAAATAATACAAGCCAATAAGTAGTTAAGGAAGCCAATACTGGTTTTGTTACTCTGATCTTAATTTCAATGCCAATTTTAAATCCTTGCTATTGTAAAAATTTTTTGCAGCTGCCTACAGAATCATTGTTTTATCGAGCTGTTCTTCAAGTTATTATAGAAGAAATTTATGGTGTCACCAAAAGGTAGGGAGTTCTGAATTCACAGAATATGAACCAAAGATCTGATTCTCTTCCACCTTTATTCTGTAGAGAAAGTATTTCTTATAAAGAAGAATCTGTAAGATTCTGTAGAAGAATCTGAAGAATCTGTAAGATTTTTCTTCTGTAAGAATCAGTCTTATCATACTGCATGTACGTATTGGTATTAAAATGCAGGATATGTTTGTTCATCCTAAATCCACATCACAAATATATTGCCCTTCCTTTACCCATAGCTGAAAGAGGTCCTCTTTGGTACTAGATACATGGGTAAAACATATCTTCACCAGAGAACCGACAACAAATTCACTAAAAAGTCAACCCAGTCCTGGGCTACCCTGTTATGCAGAGGTCCTGGCAGCTTTAATACTGCAGAAGACAGAAAGACATTTCCATTTGTCCTGAGAAAAAATGCTGAAAGCCCAAAGGCCAGCATGGCTGTAAAGAGCTATTTACTGCCTATGCCTACTTTACCAAGTACTGTGCCCCTGTAGGGTGGGATTTGGAGAGCTGGTGCTGAGGACCTGACATCTGCACTATACTCTATACGTCATAGTGGGATTAGATTTTATCTAATTCTGTGGGATGTGTGTCTGTTAGCACTTGGAGCACATCCAAAAGCACACCTTCCAGTTTAATTTAAGTTTAAAATAATCCATTTTTTGCGCTCTGATCCTATTCCACAGTGTGAACCAAGGCATGGGAGGTGGGCAAAACCAGAAAATTCACTTCAGAAGTATACTCTAAAATAAGTGCTAATGCAGATACCCCCAAATCTTTTGCTAAATGTAGAGCCAGACAGCTTACCCTTCAGCAGGTCAAACTCCTGAAAGAAGAAATGCTTTTTTTATTTTTAAAATACGTAAAATACAACACATAAAACCATGGCTACTAAATTGTAAAAAAAAGAAAAAGTGTGAGCTAGATGATAATGTTTCATTTGTTGAAGGAAGCATAATGTGGAGGAAGTAATTAAGATCATATTTTTGAAATAAAAGCAATGGCTACCTTGGAAAGGCTCCCTCCTCCCGCGCCTCCCCCAAGTTTCATTGGTGAGTGTGATGTTACATGGTGTGGAAGATCCCTATGGTCCTTTTGGGTCAGCTGTCCCGACCATGTCCCCCCACACTTCTTGTGCACCCCCGGCCGGCTCCCTGTGGGGCAGAGGGAGGAACAGAGAGGGCCTTGACGCTGTGCAATCGCTGTTTGGCAATAGCCAAAACATGGGTGTGTTACCAGCACCTTTTCGGTCACAAACCCGAAGCACGGCACTACAAGGGCTGCTGTGAAGTTAGCTCCCTCCCAGCCAGACCCAGACAATATCTTTCCCCCTGTAGCTTGTGCTTAGGAGGGCAGATGCCCGTCGTGCAAAGAATGACGTAACAGCACTATCATTAACTGATTTTCAGACTGCATCAGCCCAAATGTTTAAGTGCATCTGAATATTAAATATGACTGCAGAAATTCGTTCTTTCTTTAAAAATAAATGTGACTGTTGATTCTCAGTGAGTGGGGATCCTTGCCAGCTAAGCAGCATTACAACTGCCACTGAGTAAAGTCTTTCTGTTGACCTCAATAGATGTTAATCCTGATCTATAAATAAGGAGAAAGGTGTTTTACTAAGAATAAAGAGCAGAAAAAGTTTTAAATAAAGATATTTGTATTTAGTTTTTCACGGGGGGGAAAGTGTATTTCCTCTTAAGTAATTGAATACTCACAAACAGCTGCTGTAGCTGAAAATGTAACTCCTGCACTGCACAGCTGGAAGAGGAATTACATTAAGACACAGTCAGGAAAGCGAATTCAGACTAACAAAAACTTTGCGTGTTGTTTCTCCAAGATATTTTAAACACAGAGAAGAGACACAGATGTAAGTGACCTGTTAGGATTCAGTCTTCCTATATGTTTTTTAAGTTTTCGTGCATTATTTTAACATGTTTTTTGAAACAACCCTGGCTGGCTTCAAAAGTAGGTCATCGAGTTGTAAACAGGAGAAAATTCTGGCATCACTTAGTGAAATAAAAATTGTGAGGATAAGAACACAAGGTAACAAGAGAAAGTGAAATTTTACTCCAACTTGACATTTGCTCAGTCCAGTGGTTGATGGTAAATAAATTACAGCAGCATTATAGTAAATTATAGAAGTATTATAGAAGTATAGAAGGAAATATCTGTCAGCAGAAATAAGAATTTTGTCATTCATATAGGGAAATAAAAATATTAGGGAGAAATTAAAAAGAAATCTTCAACTCTCCAATTTTTACGTAAAATAACAACTGCACTATAACCATAGTACAATTGTACAGTTGCTGTATCTAGAAATTTCTTCAAGTATTAGCTAGCTTGTTTTGTTTTAAGTAAAAGGGGGAGAAAGGAAAATTGTTGCTAACTTTGCAGTAGTAGCCAATTTATTTCTCCTGAATTAAAAAGTTATTTAAAATGAATTAAAAATGTGTAGATTTCTGTTGTTGGATGTATAAAAGCCTGCATCTCAATACTGTATTTGCAGTGATCGACACGTTGGAAAAACTTTCTCCAAATCATCCTCCTTCATAGATTATGTCAGAAAGTCTCTGAAAAAGCTGGAACTGGATGATTCAAAGGTGAGTCACTAAATAGAGACTGCATGAAATCCTTATATCCATGTAAGTTCTTGAAGTCAGCACCATAATGCGATGTTTGAGCCATTGAGTTGATTTAGTTTGTATACTGCTGTATAAATACAAAGTATTCTCATTTTTATTAATATTAATAGAGCCAATCTATGCTTATTTTTCTGTATTAAAAAAACCATATATCAAAGTTGGGGTTTTTAATGTTTTTTGGGAACAGGCTTCCATGTATAAATTCTTGAAAAGATTTTGTTTAAAAATTACTTTATTGTAATGACTTTATATAAAATGAATCCTTTTTTAAACATGGTGCTCATGATCAGAATTTTTTAAAGCCTTTCTGGTATTTATGAAGTTAATCCTACAAATCTCCTTTGAGGCAAAAAAATGTAATACATACTCTATTTTATACATGTTGTCATTTAGAGTTAAGTATACTTTTCAGATGCCAGGTGAAGCAGGCATGAAGAACTTCTTGCCTGTGCGGATTCTATACATCCTGATAAAGTAACTCTTGCACCCTTTTAAACCCAGCTGAAATACTATCCTATGCAAACATGTTGCTTTTTCATCTGTACTTAAGTTTAAACTGAAAGTGATCCAAAAAAACATGAATAATGAATCACATAGTAAACTCTTTGACCCCTCTTTATTTTCATTTTTTCTGCAGCAATATTATCTTGATCCCTTTGGACACCTTTTGAAACTGAAAAATGTAACATTATAGCAAGATAGGCAATTCCATCCATGCAGTTTGTTTCTCTCACAATTTACTTCCCAAAGTATTTCCAATTTATTTTAGCCTTTAGACAGTCTCCTTAGGCAGTCTTTGAAGATCATCTCTGCTGCAGCTTCTGCGTATGGAAGGGCCTAATACTTTTTTTCTTTAAATCAACAAAGTTAAGGACAAGTATTAAGATTTTTAAATAACTTGCCTAGATAGAGAAAAAGAAGTAAATACAAAATTGACATTTAAACTTATAAAACCTTTTGGAGATTTTTTTTTTATGTTCTTGAGTGTCTTGTCTTAGTACTACAACTGCTAAATTGGTCAACAGATGGCAACATAGCATTAGGCAGGGAATATGACTGTGTGAAGATCACAACCACTCTGTGAGAACGAGTTGTGCAATGGAGACACGAGAGAGTATTAGACTGATTATTAAAAAATTTAGTACAAATGAAAGAAAAAAGTAGGAGTGGCAAGTATGTAAAATATTTAAGGTAAATGTTGTTGTAGTCTTTGGTAAAGCAATGCTTAAAATCTGTAGTCAAAATGTCAAATCACATAAAATTTGCCAGGCTCATCAAACCATGAGCTAGGAGAAAAATACAAAACCAAATAAACAAGTAAATGCAAATGACGTTGGAATCATGCTTACAGCATTAAGAAAAAGACTTATGCCAGAAGTTCACTGTGTTTTAAAAGGGTTATATTTAATTCTGTTTGCAAATTGAGCTACCTGTTTGCTTTTCTGGATACATAGGCACTAACATCATGCATTTGCCCCAGCTGAAAGTAACTACTAAAATGGTGTCGTCCTCAGTATGCGTGCAATCACCCAAAAGCAATAGTGGATTGTTTGTGCAACAGTCCGTTTACTAAATCATTGGTTAAACCCTGCTGGTAGAGAGTTATACATTTTTTCTTTTAAAACCAGTAAGCATAGAAACTTTGTGTCAGTGTGTCTGATTTTAGACATGCTGCCTTTGCCAGAAAGGGTCTGGACAAATGCAAGTTGCCCTGAGAGAAAGATGTCTGTCAACGCTACTTCAGGCTGCACGTGTTCGTGTGGTTGCTAAAGACCTGATTCAAGTAAATGCTCATTTTTGCTTATGTTTCTCCTCGTTTTTGTGCGCAGCTGGCTGCATACTGAAGACGGAATTTTATGCTGATCTAAACAATATTATTTTTTATTTCCCAGCTATGTTGAAATTTGCAGCAGCACAAAACGGTGCTATTTTGATACTACTGAGAGGAAAGTTGTTACTGCTCCCTCAGCAGTGGTTCTGACACTGCAGTTTTCGTGGTGGAGTCAGCACTATATCTACACAATATTGGAGAATGTGTTAAATTCCTCTCTTCAGAAAAAAAATACTTACATAGCTAAAAATGTGATGCAGCCTAAACATTTGCTCTCAAAGACAACAAAAATCAAAGAGAAATCTATGCAGAATTTGTTTTCTAGCTCTGTTTTTAAAAATGAACAAAAGAGCAGCTGTACTGTGTAGACCAAATGTCTACTCTGTCTCCGGCAATGGCCAAAAACTGATGCCTTGGGAAGAATACAAGGCGAGAGTAAGCATATATGAAGGATACTTCCAGAATAATCCAAAATGTGCCTGTCACTCACAAAAAAAGGAGGCAACCGTTGTCTTCATGCATAAATTTATTTAGGTGGTGTTAAAAAAACAGCTAAAACTTAGTAACGCTGTGTAGTACAGAGAACTGTGAGAAAAAATTGCATACGAGTCTCTGTTTTACAAGTGCAAAAATATTTTTTAAAAAACTTAAGTCAGAAAACTGCGAGTCTCAGGTTTTTTACTATGCTTATCAGAAAATTGAAGAGAGTTTAATCTCTGCATGATAATAAATGTACTGGGAAGTAGAGGGGAGCGGCACTAAGTTTTTAGGAGTCACTGCCAGGGTTTGGTAGCTTAGCATGTCTGGTAAAGTCATGGATGTTTTTGACCACTGTGGCTGAATCTGGACTGTGGGACATAAACATCTTTCCAAACTCGTGGTTCATGAGGAGCACCACAGCTGCTTCCTTTACAGACACCAATGCCTCTGTTCCTGATCAAGGGGTAGCCCTGGTGCAATCCAGTCATTTTCCAGTCTGGATAAATGTGAAAGCAGAATAAAGAGAGCAAGTGCATAAGACACCTAACCTGCCTTGATACTCATTTATGTACATGTATGCCTTTTGCTAAATATAGAACTGATGAAGACTCTTATCAAGTATAAATATCCAAACAGTAAGATAATTTTTGCTATTGTTTTTCAGTAAAGATAAGTTCTTTAATCCTGCCAGTTCTTCATGTGAACAAGCCCCTCTGCATCTTTCATTTGTGAAATAGATGTGAAGATCTTTGCTTATTTGAAATAAGAACCAGACCCCTTATGAAAAGATTGTCAATAAGAAGTGAGTTAGAGTGAGACAAAATAGTAAAATAGTTTTTCTACCAAAAAAAAATAGCATTTATCAATCACCTAGGGCCATTCATTGTTACAGGTTACTGTTCAAGGACTGAAGTTTCCTATCACCTTAGGGAAAATAATTTCCTCCATTGTGTTTCTTTTCAATGTGGAAGAGCCTGTTGAGTCCAGATTAAACACTGAGATATAAATGAACTATTTTTTTCTGCCTTTTGGTACAGGATCATTCCTTTCACACATCTCTCCACCTCAGTAGTAAAACTGAGACACACACCATGACTACTGAATGTCTGTCAAAATATTCTCATTTTGTGAGGACAGAGAGAGGTCTTTTAGTGTGAATTTGATGCTTCGCAGGTATGGTTATATTGCTTTTAGCTTCAGGACTAATGGAATTGCTTTGTGGGCCATGGATACCTGCACAGGGCTTTAGTAATTGGTCTGGATACACACCAAGGCAATATTTTACTCCTGGTTGTTTTCTTTGTCGTAGCTCACTCTGTTCCTATACACTCCATGTTGTATGGGCAGAGTGTTCAGTGTCGCATAGATATGGGAGAAATTCTTTCTATCAGAAGATTTCTTTGCCCTTTTTTTACCTAATTTGCCACTGTTTTACCTAATTTAGCATGAATGTGGGACTCTCACTTGAGGGAATGAAGCATTCATCCCTGTTCTTGCTCCTAGAGGAGCTGGCCACTCTTACGCTTGTTAGCCTTTCTTCTTTCAAACAGCAAGAGCAATCGCGCCGTCCTCTTCAGCAGAACATGTTTCAGCTGTTTGTAGCCACCTTGCAGATGGATTTAAAACGAAGCCTCTTTATTAATACATTTGGTTGCTGCTTAAGACAATAAGTGCTACAAATGGCATTGCCACAGCAAAAAGTCCTTGTATAAGTATTTATGTATTTCTAGAGTGTTCGAAGAAAAAAACCCAAAACTTTCTTAAATTGCCTGGTGTCCTGTACGTAGTGGGGTAGATTAGTAAAAGATCTTTCATAGGGCCTAGCTTCAAGGTGATTAAAGAGAGGAAGTGCTTACAAGGCTAAGGCCTGGATGTGTGTCTGGCAGACTTTGTGATCTATGACCCAGCTAGGATCCATTTCTGCTAGCAAGTGAGAGCCTCAGTGGGTGGAGCTGTTTAACAGAGGAAAGCTGGCCAGGATTCACGTAAAGTGCAGTCTGGGAATAAGGAGAGAATGCTATTTAATGCCACGTCCGATTGCAGGAAGATATACAGGGCTGGAAACACTCCTGACATATCCGCAAAGAAAAGCTATTAGTCACATTGATTTCATCTTCTGCTATATTCACACTATAGTTACTGCTGTGGGCTAATAGCGTATAAGGTAGTTACTTTGTGTTAGTCAAAATACTTCACAAATCACTTAACCCTTTCAGATGTAGACATATGCTGGGGAGATACAATAGCAAATTCAGAGGTAGGGTCACCTTAAGCTTTCACAGACAAAGAAGTTTATGTGCCTGTCAGTGAGTGCGTCATTGCAGATTTACTTGGTTTTGTTTAACCGAGCTTCCAAGTCTCCTGTGAGTGGTGTTTTTCAGTTTCAAACAGTCTAGTGTCTGCACATAACCTAAAGTTGCTCGGTCTCTTCCCCCGGAAAAAGTCATTTATTTGGCAAGTGCCCCATCTAACAACCTGAGATGAGTTCTGCAACAATAAACAGATGGTTAATGCTCAATTTCTACCATCCCCGTTTGCTTTAACCCTGACCAGACTTCTTAAAAACAGCTGCTGCCCATTTGTCTTTTTCTGATCCTGTGCTTCAGGTGGAGCATCCCAAAAAGATTTACAGCTGTCAGGTCTCAAC